CGAAAGGTCAATTGGCATTAATTTTTATTGATACCCCTCAGTGGTACATCTCAGTGGTACATCTCAGTGATACCCCTCAGTGGTACATCTCAGTGGTACATCTCAGTGGCTGGGGTGGTTTTCTTTGACTTATCAGAATATCAGATTTTTTTAGAAATATTTTATTTGAAGGGGAATATTTACATATTGTACAACACTAATTAATTTATTAATTAAACAACTTCCCTGCTAGTAATTAACTCTACAGATTACAAACTGGTTGAAATAGCACAAAACTTTCATCTTTGACCCTGTGATGGGCCACTCTGTATATTAATTCCTAGTCAAAATCCATTGGCCTATTATCATTTGACATTTATGTCAGTCTTGAGAGTGAATCCAAAGTAAAAATCCATGCTAAGTGTATTTCCACAATAAGTGAGAATGCCACGATGGGTTTTTATGCTACTATTAAAGTATAATATATACAATAGTACTATACCAAAATATCCTTTTGTGTAACCCATTTTATGTACAATGAATGTAGTACTACAGTGGTGGAGCCAGGTCCGAAAGATATCCGGCAAGATATCTGAGATTGCCCGAATCTCTAACCTAGTTATGATATTTTTGCCAGAAAAAAACTTGTTTTCGAGGCTGTGCAACTGCCCCTTCTGCCTCTCCTTTGACTCCACAACTGTATTAGCAGACAGATACAATTTTTGTGCCAATTTGGGCAAGATATCTGAGATTGCCTGAATCTCTAACCTAGTTATGATATTTTTGCCAGAAAAAAACTTGTTTTCGAGGCTGTGCAACTGCCCCTTCTGCCTCTCCTTTGACTCCACAACTGTATTAGCAGACAGATACAATTTTTGTGCCAATTTGGGCAAGATATCTGAGATTGCCTGAATCTCTAACCTAGTTATGATATTTTTGCCAGAAAAAAACTTGTTTTCGAGGCTGTGCAACTGCCCCTTCTGCCTCTCCTTTGACTCCACAACTGTATTAGCAGACAGATACAATTTTTGTGCCAATTTGGGCAAGATATCTGAGATTGCCTGAATCTCTAACCTAGTTATGGTATTTTTGCCAGAAAAAAACTTGTTTTCGAGGCTGTGTAACTGCCCCTTCTGCCTCTCCTTTGACTCCACAACTGTATTAGCAAACAGATACAATTTTTGTGCCAATTTGCCATTAAATTTTATGCTATTTCACTCAGTTCACATAGGGACAAATTATTAATCTTAACATATAACAGGTCAACTGACAAATAAATAGATAAATATTCAACAATACTCAAAATACAGAACACAACCAACTGATCTATTGGGTAGAAAAATATTTAGGAAAAATATCTTCTTTTTGTACAATCATCATTTACAGTCATTGCACGGACGAAAGTATGTAAAGCTAAAGATATGTGCCTATGATGAAATAAAACATATTGCTTAATTTTGATTGCAATATCTTTTAACTCTGAGGCACATTGGTGTTGGACGGAATTATTATAGCAAAACTATTTTACAGTCATACTCGAATAGAAACGCACATTCTGCAGTTGTGTGTACGAATCAGCATCCCTGGAACATGACATTCGAAAGAAAGGCACAGGTATCTCCTTTGCCATTTTGCAAAAATTTCAAAACAACGTGCAAAATATCAAAACTTGTTCACATTTTTCAGTATCACACTACAACAGTCACACGTCAAAATATAGAATTTTAAAATAAACATGTACATCAGTTTATAGTTACATATAGACACAAATAAAGCTTTCAGAGACTCGGATTATATATTGATCTCATTTCACAGGTGCGTATTATACACCCATACGTTTTATACTCGGAATTATTCAATATTATAGTATATACAGGTATATAAGCCTTTATAATAGCGAAGTG